GGACTCCCTTACTTGGGAAGAGCTCGAAAGCTCCCTTACTATGTAGGAGCTCGGGGGCTCCTTTGCTTGGGAGGAGCTCGGGATAATCGGAGTGTTACCCGGTGCCGAGCTGCCACGCTAGATTTTGGCGGACTGGTCGCGCTGAGCTGTCACTTATGCTGAGTCACGCCCACGAGTTCCCCTAATATGAGGTCGGGGCAAATCACCCTCCATCAATTGCCCCCCACTCCTCGAGCCAGGGGTCCTGACCTGGTGCGGGGAGTTCACGACGTGACGGGTGGATTTGGCCCAAAGTCCGGGCTGCCTCGTCAGAATTCGCCGGTCAATCCAGTTCATCGTTCGGCTCAACCAAGAATAACCCGGATCACGTACAGCTCACGCGCGGACGTGACATGATTTATAGACTCCGCGGACGTCAAAAATGCACTAAACTGATTTCACCTCGAGGGTCGCACAACTGGTTTTCTTAAGGGTCATTAGATCATCTTGATCTCGATCGTTGAATCTCGGGCATACCGGCTATAAATAGGGGGGGACCCCTGTCATTTTCCCTGCCATAAGCTCACTAGCGCTCGTCTTGAGGTCGCATCTAAGGTCTTCAGCTTGGGTTCTCCAATTCGTCTTTTTTCCTGTCGTTGTGTTCTTAGGTAAGTCTCCCTAGCTCCCTTCAGTTCGTTTCTAGTTTTTCTATTTCAGTTTCATAGCTCTCCTTTAGGCTATTTCCCAGTTCGTAGCTATGTCAGACCATAGCTTCGATAGTCAATTAGATGAGCCTGAGGTGGGTGCCCCGGCTCCAGTGGACAGTCTCCTAGACGAGCCCGAGGTGGGTACCTCGGCTCAAGTCAGTGCCTCTGAAGCACATTCTACCTACGAGGTGCGAAGGACCTCGGGTAACCCGGCATCCACCTCTAACCGAGGTCAGATACCAGACAAGTTCGGTCCTTCTACCATGACGGTAGACAGGCTAAGGAGCCTGATAGCCCGGTACAACCTTCCTAGGGAGTACTCCTACCATCTTCCCGCGGGCAACTTTCCCTAGGAGCACGGTCGTGACGAGATCATGGTTCTCGGGGAACAGCTCGCGGCTGGGCACCGCCTTCCGCTGTACCCTCTCATCGTTGAAGTGTTTAATCACTTCGATGTAACTATAGATCAGCTCCACCTGAACTCTGTCCGGAACGTGGTCGGTACATTTTCCCTTTGTTTCGACTACGCCCTCCCCCTTGATCTCGAAAATTTCTCCTCTATCTTATTGATAAAGAAGAATGCATCCAGCGTTCTCCCCGAGCACAGGTGGACCTACTATCTGTCCCCCTGCCCGGGCTTTAAGTTGTTGCACAAACTCCCTAGTAAAGTCTCGGCCTGGAAACGGGACTACTTCGTAGTTCGTAACACTACGGGGTGGCCCTTCCCTACTCACTAGAGGGTGGCCATTCAAGACCCCAGCATTAGGCTGGACAAGAAAACAAGTGAGATGCTTCAATCTTGGGCAGAGCTCGGCTTTGACTACAAGGACTATCTTTCCGAGAACAAGCTCATTGAGGCCGGTTTGAGTCCCGGTAGGTCGCCTTGTTTAGAGTTAGTATTTTTCTTTGGCAGTCAGTTTCTTTTTGGTAGTGTTACTGACGTCAGACTCTGTTGCTGGTCCTATGGAGCGACTCAGTGCCAAGAAGCTCTTCGGGAAGATGAACGGGAAAAAGAGGCGAGCTACAAAGAGAGCTTGTATCGAATCTCCATGGGCTCCTACTCTCGAGCCCGAGCTACCTGCTGATGCTCCAGTGATCGACTTGGAGGAGCTAGAGAGTCTTCCACCTCGGGGGCCTGAAGCGATTTCGGAGCTCGTCCTTGAGGCTTCAANCGGAGCTCGTCCTTGAGGCTTCAAAGCCCGCTCCCGAGGCCACTGCCGAGCCCGCTCTTGAGACCACCGCCACTACTTCGGGAAGTAGGGAATCAGCCTGGGGACCTGTCCGAAGTATTATGGACCCACAGTACAGCCTCCGAAAGAGCAAAGGGGCTGTGTGTGCTGATGTGCTAGCTCGCGGCCAAATCCACCGATTGGAGGGCGATGTGCTAGCTCAGAAAGAGCTAGTTACGTCGCTGATGTCAAAAAAGGAGGAGTGGTAATGCGAGAAGGAGTTGTTGCTGCGCGAGAAGGAAGAACTTCTACGTGAGAAGGGAGCTCTGAAGCGCCAGGTCGAGAACCTCGAGGCTGACGTTAAGGAGCGAACTGAGGCCCTCCTTGATGCCATGGAGGAGGCCAAAGTCAAGGTCATCCAAGACTACGTCATGTTCGAGGAGTTCGACGAGGTGATGGTGGATGCCTACCGCAAAGGCTTCAAGCTCAGTCGATGGTTGATCAAGCGCGAGTTCCCACAGCTCGATGTGAGCGTCATCACCACCTCGCGAATCACGGGAGAGGTAGCCTATGAAGCCGCCGAAGACCCGAACTCAGAAGTGGAGGAAGGTGAAGACATCGGGGAGGTCGGCGCTATAGACCATGCTACCGATCAGGCTGGCACATCTGCGGAAGCCCCGGGCAAGAAGTCCTCCAAGTAGTTCGAGTGATTCTTGTACTTTGAGCCTACGAGCTCAGTTTTTCCTTTTGTAAAACTTTTTTGTAAAGGAATTCATTTCGTAATGAAAGAATACACTTCTTGCCAAGTGTTGTGCAATTTATTTTATTTTCCAAAGTAACTTTTTTCACCCCGAACTGTTAAGTTATCAAGCCAAGTACCTGAAGTGGAGGTTTCACGACGGTTGTTGCCCCAAACTGTCTCCCGGTGCTTAGTAGGGGTTAACTCTGGATGTACACCGGGGTGAGCAACATAGTAGGGTATATACCCGAACTGTCTACACCCAGACTACTCAAGCTGATATCAGTTGTCCCTAACGGGTTCAACCTGTTGTATGCCGAGGCGGGCTATGCATCATAGGGTTCACACCCGAGCTGTCCGTGCCTTGGCGTTAAACGTACTTATCCCATGCCAACGAGGCAACTAGGTCTTATGTGGTGTCGAGGTCTTTTGTTAACTCGACACTTTAGCCCTTAGGCTGGGGGAGCGACTTGTAGTCCGCTCTCCTATAGTTCACCCGTACCGAAGTGGAAATTGGGTGCCGAAGTCCTTA